CGGTACACACCATGGCCACCAGTATCTAATATCTGCTCCCCTACTCACAACTTTCTCACTCATATATTCAATCCAAAATTTCCCCAAAAGAGGTAAAATGAAATGGCAGAAAACAAGTATGAGACATTATTTGTGGTTCTCAAGTGAATCTGCCTAGGCCAAGGATGCAGAGCCTCACATCTGTTGGTCAAACACATAACTGTCCATATTCAATCACATAACTCATCTTTTTGTTAGTGAAATTTGTCCCCACTGTTCTTCAGACTAACTTTATGGTTAGTTATTCTTCAGACAGTCTATGATGAGTAACTATGGTTATAATTTCCATACATATGGCTTCACAATTTTATATATTCTAGGGCTGTATCCCTCAAAGTGAACGCATAACACCCAATGCATGCTCCTCCCTTTATCTCTTTTCCTTCTTTCTTCCCTTCAACCTGACAATGTACCTTCTTTTGATCTTGGATGTATTCCACTTGGCTCTTAAGGAGTAATCAAAACTTTTTAAAGGAAAAAATTTGTAGGGAAGATTAGAAGAAAACAGAACTAAAAGCATACTTTTGGTTTCTTTCCTCACCATGCCACATTTAATGCCTGTTCCCTGGGGGCATCCAGATGCCCTTCAGCAAATGGCTTCCCCAGGTCTTTGGGGATTTTTATCACAATTCAGGAATTCCTCCTAAACCTCCATTGCTCCCAGTCTCACTAATCTCCCTTTATACACACAATCATTGTCCTGGTGCATGAAATTCGTGTGTGTGGGGGGGGGTGGGTCCCCTCAGTTCAGCTTTCACCCTCTCCAATCCGGGACATCCCTCTCACAATCCTGGACCACTGGCTCCTAATTGCTCACCTGCCTGCCTGCCTGGTTTCCCTTAACTGCCCCTCCCCCCGCTGACCTGATCACCTCTAACTGCCCCCCCAGCTGGCCTTGTCACCCCTAACTGCCCCTCGCTGCTGGCCAGGTTGCCCCCAACTGCCTCCTCCCTGCCGGCCTGGTCACCCCTTACTGGCCCCCTGCTGGCCTGTTTGCTCCCAACTGCCTGTCCTGCAAGCCTAGTTGCCCCTCACTGTCCCCCCTGCCAGCCTATTCGCCCTCAACTGCCCCCTCCCGCTGGCATGGTCGTACCCAACAGCACCCCCCCACTAGCCTGGTTGCCCCCAACTTCTCTCCCCGCCAGCCTTGTCACCTCTTAATTCCCTCCTGCTGGCCTGGTCGCCCCCAACTGCCCCCCCTTGCTGGCCTGGTCACCCCTCATGGCCCCCCCGCTGGCCTGGTCACCATACTCAGCCTGCTTGTTCGGTCGTTTGTTTGTCCCGCACTAACTCTCCTGCCGAGCTGTTCACCCCATGCAGCCTGCTTGTTCAGTCATTTGGTCATCCCTCACAAACCCCCTTGCTGGGCAGGTCATAGGCAGCCATCTTGTGAGGGTGTGATGGTCAATTTGCATATTCCCTTTTTATAATATAGGATATAGACAATCCCAAAAGAAATCTGTTTTCATTTTAAACTTTAGAATCTGACTTGTTTTGTTCTTAATTCATAAGCTTGGACCCATAAGCTTTAAAGGGAGAAAAAAGCCAAACCAGTTTGGCTCAGTGGATAGAGCGTTGGCCTGCGGACTGAAACGTCCCAGGTTCGATTTTGGCCAAGGGCATGTACCTTGGTTGTGGGCACATCCCCAGTAGGAGGTGTACAGGAGGCAGCTGGTCGATGTTTCTCTCTCATTGATGTTTCTGACTCTCTATCCCTCTCCCTTCCTCTCTGTAAAAAAATCAATAAAATATATTTTAAAAAAATAAAAATAAAGGGAGAAAAATAATGTTTCATTGAAGTGGCTAGATGGCTAGAAATAGTATCCTATCTAATAAAAGACAAAAAAGGTAATAGACTGTACCTTCACTACGCTTCCCATTGGCTAATCAGGGTGATATGCAAATTAACTGCCAAGAAAGATGGCGGTTAATTTGCATACATAGGCGCAATGATGAGAGACAAAAGGGGAAGGACAGAAGAACAGTGATCAGAAACCCAGGCAGCAGGCAAGAGCCGCCTTTGCCCTGCTCCCCAGCCCTGGATTGGAGAACTGGGGCCGCCTTCGCCGGCCCCCCAACAGGTGATCGCCATCGGAAAGCCGGGGCACAGGCCAGGTGGCACCCCGGGGTCCAAGGGTGCCGCCTGACCTGAGGCACCATGGTCGCCATGGCGATCAGAGGGAGAGAGAGCCGCATTGCGATTGGAGAGCTGGGGTGCAGGCTAGGCTGCACCCGGGCACCCCAGCACCTGACATGCAAAGGTCGGGAATGAAATGATTTTTCCCAATGACATCTGCAAATATCCTGGGGAAGGTATCACTGAAGAGTTCACAACAACTCTCTTACTTGGCAAGGAAGTAAAAAGTTGGCAACGGAAACAATCCCTTACATCAAAGTTAAGGTCCCTCTGAGTAAAAAAGAATATTTCCAACGTAAAGGAGGGAGCAGGCAAAAATAATAGGTTCTCATGACTTCCACTGAAGTTTGAGCATATGACAGAGTCTAAATGAACTTACAAATTAAAACAGACAGTGGACATTCAAATGACCTGAATCAACTGTCACTGTTTGTCCCAATAGCGCAATGCTTATGTGATAATATAGTTTAACAAACATACAAAACAAGTCACATGATAAGAGAGGTTCGGCTTCTAAAGTAAATTGAATATGTTCTTTAAAAATTCTCATGTCTTCCCCTCTGACTATAATTCTTAATTTTCCAATCAGAAAATTACCCCAGGTGATCCAGTAACTTGTAGAACTCCAGTAACCTAACTTATTTAAAAAAACAAACATCCCAACCAGTTTTAAAATGTTTAAATTTATATTTTAGGGTTAAAATTATAGAAGACATTTAGATCCAAATATATTTTCTGAATAGAAAATATTTCAGTTTTTGATTAAAAAAATAAACATAAAAATATATAAGTGACACATTTTCCCAAGGAACTCTGAATTAGTACCCTTCCCTCTTTCTTCAAATTAAGAGAATCTATGGAGTTCCCTATACTGCACAAGTTTTAATGAAAGAAAATAAGACTTTCTAAGAGCATCAAATACATGTTTTCTTATTTACAAACATATATACTCTTCTTTCTCTCTCTCTCTCTTTCTCTTTAAAATATATTCTTACTGATTCAGAGAGGAAGGGAGAGGGAGAGAGATAAAAACATCAATGATGAGAGAGAATCATTGATCGGCTGCCTCCTACACACCCTGTACTGGGGATCAAGTCCACAACCCGGGCATGTGGCCTGACCTGGAATCAAACTGTGACTTCCTGGTTCATAGGTTGATGCTAAACCACTGAGTCACACCGGCCGGGCTCAATTCTTATTTATAAATTCATTCCAAGGACATATACAGCTTGAAAAGCTTTGGAAGCAGTTTCAAAAAAAACTAGCTTTTAAGTAACAAGAAAACAGTTATAGAAGAAAGTTTAAATTAAAAGAAAAAAATTGTTTTAATTTATTCAAGAGTGGGAACATCCTCCATGAAAATGTGTACCTTGACTGTGGATGGCTGGGTGGCCTTATCACACCTTAGGAATTCAAATGCTTTTTACAATGAAAAGAAAGAGGGTTTCATCTCATTTCTCTCCCAAGGTAGATGTCTGTCAATAGAAGGTGGACATCAATAAAAGGAGGGGCTTGCACAATCAATCCAGAAAGTCAGCAATCTATGAATAATCCAGAACCCAGTATTTATCTCCTCTGCCACACACCCTCCCTCCCAGCCAGCGAGCAAGATAATTACTCTCAAGTCAAGTTAAGTGTCCCCCAGTCACAGTGGCCCAATGCTGACATACAAAGCATACAAATAATTCTCACTCTGGCATAAAAGTGACAACTTTCTTGGAAGAAAAGCAGATACTGTAAATTTCTCAAAGTCTTCCTGAAACATTTTTTAAATTAATTTTTACTTTTTTAGAAAAATGCATACATGGCAAACCATCTGTAATAAAAGGCCCAATCTATAAAATTTTACCTGGTCCTATTCATATCTGCAATCATAATCATATTTACAGACAAATATATCTATACTAATAAAAGAGTAATATGCTAATTAGACTGGAAGACCTTCCAGGAGACCTTCCAGATGTTCTTCTGGACATAGCCATGGTGGCGGGGCCGAGGTAGAGGCGGTTAGAGGCCAAGAGGGGAGGGCAGTTGTAGGTGATCAG